TATTATATTCTTATATATTTTTATTATATTGCTGCATTTGCTGCTTAAAGTGCCTTAGATTTTGTGTTACTTATTTATCTACTTTATATTTCATTTGTATTTTGTGGCATTCATGTGGACGGCAAAGTAAGAATTTCATTGTAGAGGGAAACACGTTTCCTAACTGTGCATATGACAAATAAACACTTTGACCTATTAGACTTCTAGGTCGAGGTAAAGGTGTCAGCACCAACTGAACAACAGCTCTGCACACACACAACTAAAAAGTTCTTCTTTGTGACTAAAATTCACTCTGAATCAGCCTGTAATCACCAAGCCCAGTGTTGACAGCAAGAGCAGAAACCAACAAAAGGGACTCACTCCTCCTCCAGTTCGTCATCTTCATCCACCCAGGCGGCTCCTCTGGTCTGGTGGCGCTGCAGAAGAGTCTCGCTCTCATCCTCCGACTCTTCATCTTTGTCCTCCACCAACAGGGCTCCAGGCCGCTCCTCATCCTCCTGCTCAGTGAAAGGGAACAAAGCTTTAACCACAGGATCAGATCGGTGCACCTGCTGCCATGTAACTACAGCTGAGCCTCAGGACCAAGCTAACACAAAGAAAAAGGCCATAAAGGCCCAGTTTCTCTGACAAAAAGCCAAACTCCTTTCAGAAAGTATACAACTTTATATCCCTGTGCTGGTCAGTAACTGCACAATACACTGAACAACACATGATGTGTTGAATGACTCTTAAAAAGTAGCTCCCACTCATCGTAAGCTCTTCTTTAATCCAATGTGTAAAGGCTGAACCACTACTCTCATAAAGTCAGCATATACTCATCTGGTTGTAGCAGTAAAACAGGTCGTTTCACTTGATTTTCACGTTTCTTCTCAACAAAATACAGATTGTAGTTTATGGGGAGAGACCCACAGCAGACTGCTTAACAAAACAATTAGCTAGTTTCTTTAGCGGGTCTGGTCCAGACCAGTCTGAAGAGAACCGGTCATTTAGTTGATCAATATTTAGGTTGACATCTGAATAAATAATACATTGAATCCACCAATAATACATAATAAATATACTTTGTTTTGGTATCAACACACGTTGTTGTAAGGTGCAAACAGGCCTATCAGGCTAAGGACAATAAGAATATTAATGAAACAGCTTTTTGAACAGAGTCTGACTAAAGTGTCACCTCCACCAGTCTGTCCACCAGCTCTTCCTCCGCCCCGAACACCAGCTCCTCCAGCAGCTTCACCGAGCCGTCCTCCTCCCCCAGCACCGCCAGACTCTGCACGTGTTTCTTCCGTGTTCGTTCTTCTTTTTCTGGGTCAAACGTCGTAGATCGAGCTCTTTTCTTGGTCGATGCTTGCTTCTCCGTCGCCGGCAGTTTGATAACGTTCATGTCCTCCATGTTGTTTAAAGCCAAATAAAGAAAACTAAGGACTTGTGTCAAACCAAACAGACATGGAAAACAATGTTTATATCTTCTACTTGCAGCTGTTCATTTCTGCCCATGTGGGGTTGCTTCCTGTTGTCACGTGCTTCCGCCCATGTGACCCCTGAACTTCGACAAAGAAAAGACTGCCCTCTAATGTTCACAGGCGGAAATGCAGGAAGTTTGTTTTTCTAAAAGGGGTGGTGTGACAAAAGTAATCACGTTATTCAATCCAACCTAAGGGAGGACGACGAGAAGCCGGGGCACAACTAGAAGGGGGGAGGTCATTATGACCAAACAGCGCACGGTAATCCATGGAGAGGCCTGTTTGTGCCAGTTTACCGTGGCTGCAGGTGGGAACAAGCAACATACATGTTCCACGTGCGTTTAGCTGGAACGGAACCCATGTGTGCCATCAATGCATCCAACCGCATTAGGAAATCCTGAAGGGGATTCTAATTATTAGTTTATTTCCAGAGGTCACAGCAAGATGTTATTAAGTGATCATCATTTTTCAGATTAGCCTTACTGAAACGAATTCAATACCACTAACCTGCAATCCTGTGAAACTCCTCTTTAATGGCTCTGAGGGGTTTGTGCCCAGGAAACACAACAAAAATTCACAGAAAGCGCTTGAGGGTGAGGCACACTTTACGAACTATTCTACGTACTGTGGCCTTACTAATGTGCTCTGCATCCCCGATGTTATAAAGAAAACTGCCGTTTGCAACAAATCGTAACGCAACACAAAGCATCTGCTCGGATGTAAGAGCACGGCCACGATGGGGGATGTGTCTGATGTTTGGGTGGATAAGATTATTGATATATGTTAAGACTCTCTAGAAAAACGGTACCGCTCAAATAAAAATACATGGGGATATGACAAAAAAATCAACTTGTGGCCTCAATATCCTCTCCCGACGTAAATGCAATTCCCTGCGAATTAATACAGCGTCCTCATCTACAGGATCCTCTATGAATGGACACGCCATTTTGGTCTCTGCGTGACGGAAACGTGTGCAATCTATGAATGTACTGAAAGATTAAATGAGGTATTAAACACCTTTCACTTTAAAAAGGGGTGGAGACCCAGAGGAAACTCTGAGTTTCCTGAACAAAACCTGCTCGCCAGCAGGTTAGGTTCACAGAGTAATTTGCCATAGTAACTGACTCTGAGTTTAGATTACCTCTCTTTGTGAAACGGGTTTAACTTACCCCGCTTCACGGGTTTAAGTTACCTCCGTTTCTGAAACCGAAAACTCCGAGTTGCCCTCATTTCGGGGTTAACAAACTCTGAGTTTTGACAAAACCGCCTTCTTGAAATAGGCCCCTGGTGTCACAGTGTTATTTCTGTTTTGTTGTTTGTTGACAACATGTGATCAGAACTGCAGACTTCCGAGTGTCACTTAAAACCCGTGTTAAGGTTTGTTCTTGAACAGCAGGTGATGAAACCACTGGTCCAGGAGCTCCTGCCTTTTCCAGAACGATCAGACAAATAAACAAACAGCCTCCATTGGTGATCACTGATCTTTAATGTGTGCAGGTTTAGTTTCACTTAGAGGGAGAGTTTCTTTCAGCTGCAGGTAAAGAGCCCAAAGAGAGCGAGCATGCTGCTGAACTGGGACTGACACAAACCATCAGTCCCAGTTTGAATCTAAAGCTACAGGAGAGTGGGACACTATCACCACTACAGGTTTCATCAGTGCTGTCATCTGCCAGCACAGTAACAAGTCACAACAGTTAGTCACAGGTTCATGTGTGTGGCCAAGCGTTTTACAGTTCGTAAGGCAAACAGAGCTTTGTGTTAGTTAACAAAGAGTCGGTCACATGATAAAATCACATCTAAAAGCATTAATGAGGGTTGAGCTCTGCAAAATGTTTTTAAAACCTGGGATCATTTTTATGATTTTGATATGGAAACAGAAAAGTGCTCGGTCCAAATCTCTGCATCCACATCACAACTCAAGTTCCTACAGCAGCGTGAACAGACCAAGTCGGGTGTTCTCAGATCAGATCTGGGTTACCTGCATATGTGCTCCTAGATCCAATTCCTGTCTGAGGAAACTGGCACATTTGACTGTCACACACATGACCTGGTTGTTATTCTTCTGTGCACGTGGCTCACAGATGGGTTACATCTGTGCATGTGTGGCAGTTCAGGAGCTGAGCTGTGTTCACACCGGAGCCAGGTACATGGCGCTGACACACACGGACGGGAAGCAGCAACACAACAAGGTCAGATCTGACTGAAACATCAAGGCCTGAGATGTGGACACAGCCTAGAAGGAGAAATCCAAGAGAAAACACTTTGTACATGCAGAGAAAGTGCAGGAAGTGACTGAACATGTCACGTGGCACTGAAAGAAAAAAAATAAAACACAACTACCTACTTTCTAACTATGACATTAAAACTTTGACCTTGTAAAATTACAACTTCAGTCTCAAAATATTCAGTTTAGACAGAAAAATGAATGAAATGACTGTTTTACTGTGTCCAGACTGGTTCTCAGTTGTCAGATTAACTCGAGTTGAAGTTGAATAAAAATACCTGGGAACACTGGATGATGGGTAATTATTTAACACTGCATGTTAGAAACCTGAAGCGTCGACGTCATGCTGCTGAAACACACAACATGCAATAGTCTGTGGTTAGAGAAGGACGAAGGGAGCTCAGCCGAGTGTGTGTGTGCTTCACTTCGGTCCGTCTTGGCACTTAAAGACTCCACCTCCACAGAGACTGATCTCTGTCCGAGTTACGCCCCGCCAAAATAAAGCCCATCACATCGATGACATCACCAGCACAGGTGTGGCTGATGGCACAGGTGAGCTGAAGTATTTACAGGTGTATTCACACGTCATCCTGCTGTGAACAAACATCTGGGTCAGAGTAAATCTGTCACATGGCTTCAGAGCCATGCCACAGGAACTGACCCCACTTCAGTTTACTGGTTTCTCTGGTATCTCCAGATCTGGTGTGCTGAGGGACGTGTTGCTCCAGAGTTTGTCTCTGTGGTTTACCAGGACTCTGAATTATGCACATTAAAGGAGCAGTTCCACATTTTGGTAAAAACATTTGTTCTGTGTGTTTGTTTCATTCTGTTTTATGTTTTTTTAACATTTAACATAAAAACCTGAGACTAATTTGTGTAATATGTCCTGTTTAGAGCAGGGATCAGGCCACGTATTTCTGTCCAAACCCGACCCATGCCTGAGAGTGTGGCATCTGAACCTGACCCGGACACGACAAGCTTATACTATATAATGTCCGAACAGAACGTGAGCCCAACGCAGCCAAGTCTGTACAGTGCTTTCCCCCTTATCATTAGACAAAGCAGACGTCTGAGCGCTCTAGCCTAAAGTTCGACCCACGTGTCTGAATCTCAGACACCAACGGGTCCGGTTGGGTTCGGTTTGGGTGTCCACGCTCTAGTGCTGTTGTGTCTTGTTCTAATTTCTGCTGCTGGGTACTGGCAGAGGAATCCATCCTGTGTTGTCCCCAACACTCAGATCCTTCCCAAGTTCTATTAAACGTTCAATGAATTTTAATATTAGATTTGATCAGATCACAACTGAAACTTTTCCAAAGAAAAAGTCTTGTTTTCTCTGATGTTAAAGAGCAAGATAAAAGAATATCTAATAAAGTAATAATCAATGTTGCTACAAGGTAACTGAAGTAATCTAGCCGCAGGGGTTTCAAGCCAGTGACTTCTGTGTTGGTCCCAAGCCCGGATAAATAGAGAGGGTTGCGTCTGGCATCCGGTGTAAAAACATGCCAAATTTAAACATGTGAATCATCAGTGTGAATTCCATGCGGGATTGGTCGAGGTCTGGGTTAACAACGGCCGCCACCAGTGCTGTTGACCTACAGGGTGCTGGTGGAAATTGGACTACTGTTGGTCGAAG